CACTAAATATACACACATAAGGAGATCCTGACCTTTGCATATAATAATGAGATTGAACTTGAGAATTCTCTAGTAACTATTATGAGTAACGCCAAGAATGGATAGAAGACTGTTGTAAAACATGATTTCAATCGATGAAAGCCGCTTTTTTCTTTGCTCAGTCACATCTGTTGGTATTTGACAGCTGCTCAACTAATCAACCAACCAGATAAAGATTAAACTTTAAAAAACAGAAGGTTAGTAAAACAAAGTTAAAAATAGAGCTCTGTCTCAGTTTACCTTAGTTTTAGCTATCATATGTGGAAAGTGGAAACATGTAAATTGACCTCAGTGTACCTTCAGTTTCCCCACTGTTTTATAAATGAGTTACCATTTATTTGTGGAAAGTGGAAACATGCAAATTGACCAATATAGGCATGATGCAAGTTATGTTGCCTGTGAGTTCCCATCATTGTTTCCACCTTCATAAATGACTTACAAGATGATCTTAGAAGGTTCACATTATGATCTTAGAAAGGTCAAGAAGACTTACAAGATGAACTACAAGATGTGCATAAACACCCCCCATGTGGATAGAAAGCAGCATATGGTGGCATCATATGCTGATTTTGTGATTTTGCAAGTACAAAAAAGTCAACAGAAAGGTCAACCTGATAAATCTGAATGAATGGAGATAATTGTTTGCATGTTATACCTGTGGAGGACCCCACATATGCTGATTTTGGTTTCTATAGTGTGAGCTAATGATTTTTATGGTTGTAAACCTTATTTGCAACAGAACAGAGGTTGTCTTGGATGTCCCAAGGTCCCGTTTATGAGCAATGATAAAAAAACAGCCACCTGGAAATCTGAAAAAAAAAGACAAAACCATAAATAAAAATAAACCAAATCAGGCAGAAGACTTTTGGAGCAGTAGCACATATGTAATGGACAACAGTGCTGCTCAGTCACAATCATCACTCTCCATGTCATTGCCTTTTTAATTATTAAAAGGTGAAGCTTTTACATAGATTCGAAACATAAAGATTAAAATCTAACATATATATATATATATATATATATATATATATATATATATATATATATATATATATCATAAATCAATATCAATTCAACTTATATTATAATACTACAAGTCACAGATATTACAGTTAAAAGATCATTATACAATTAAATAAACACCAAATTTTCTATTTTATTATTCACCAACACCAAACAAAATGGTGTTGGGCTGGAGGGATTTGACACCAAATTTAGTGTAAAAAACGAGTTTTGGTGTTGGGTTGAAAATTTATGAAGTTCTTCTAGACTATAAACCAAAAGAATTCACTAAATAAACTTCAATATAATAAAAGAAGTAAAATTAGTTGTACCCTGTCATTTGGAGCTGCTGCATGCCCATAATGAAGAATAGAACTACAGGATGAAAAAATAAATTAAAATTTTTAGCTGATAAACAAGCATATAAGAAAGATGGAAACCCAAAAAGGAAAAAATTATCACCTGTTGTCACCAGTTGCACAAATACAAGTATAGTAGGACCATATTCTTATGAATTATGATAACGAAACAGTTACAAATACATGGATAGTAGGACAATAATTCAAGCTTTGGTTTTAATATTATTTAAATTGATACAAAGAAACTGAAAATTTAGTAAGCAAAGTCAAAGAAACTGAAAAATTAGTAAGCAATTATATCCAATCAGATACGTTAAGAGGTTGAACATGATTAAATGGCAATGAATTTGGTTAAGAACTCATACTTGGTCTGATGTAGCAGCTAGCTCATGGATACTCCTTGTTGTGCCTGTTAACCACAACATCAGAAAAAGCTTATTAAGGCCTTGGAAACAACCACCATTCATGTATTTATCAATATCTGCAAAATAAAGATATGTGGAATGTCTTCCTATTGACCGGTCAACAGAAGATTCATCACTAGAATTTGAAGAAAGATTAATTCAAAAAACTAGACACTTAAAATTAGACAGTTACATAAATATATAACCACTCTTCTCTTCTCATATACTATTAGATAATGTTTCTCTTTCTTACTTACTTTGGACAGAGTGTTCTGACTTGCTGCCCTTTACAGTGAACTCATCCACCTTGCTGCCCTTTACAAGTAAGCAACTTTCATGTCTCCATTTGTTTCTTTTTAGTGCTTCTTCATTACCATTAATGGGTTTTCCTTTTTATTTTTTTTTATCAGATATGGAGGGATCTATCTTGATTCTGGCATTAAAGTGCTGAGACCACTTCATTCTCAATCCAATATAGTGGGATTTGAGGATTATTCATCAGGAAGTCACTTAAATGGAGCAGTGATGACATTTAGAAAGCACATGTAACAATATAACAAAATGTCAAAATTAACTAAATGTTTATTTTGTTTTTATATTTGATAATGTTTTGGAAATTATTGTATACAGTTCGTTTATAATGGAGTGTTTGAAGGACTTCTATGCAAGTTATGATGAAACCAGCTTAAGGTGGAATGGAGCTGATCTTTTAAGCAGAGTAAGGATAAAGTTTCTTCATGAAGATGGTTTGTATAGAAAGATTGTTAATGAGTCATTTACATTTCATTTGTGGAATAGTTTAACACATTCTTTAGTTCCAGAGCCTGAAAGCCTTGTAGCCAGGTTTATCAACCAACACTGTATCCGTTGCTCTGATGTGTTGTAAATTTAGAATCCCTTACTATATATGTAGATGCTAATGATGAACAAAAACTCAAATTAGGTTTAGGCAGTAAACTTGACATGAATAAAATATACACTGGAAAATCATAAGATGGTAACGAGCACCATGACAACAACTACAACTACCATCTGTGCCACCGTAACAACCGGAGCAAGAAGGAAAGCATACCTTAGTTAAATCCGAGCTAGGGCTTGTAAGAATGACAAAAAATCATGATCAACATCTTCGGCGCTGTGTGGGATGAGAAGTTGTAAGTCCCTAAATCGTCGGCTCTAGGATAGAAGTAGATGGAGCAGGTAAGTTCTTCACACTTTCATATTGGATGTCGCGACTTCAAATTGCAGCTGATCTCGCTCACGGCCTCGATTACATTCATAACTCTACTGGATTGGAGAAGAAATTCATCCACAATCACAGCAAAAGCTCAAGCATAATTGTAACCCAATCATAGTCACTCAACACGAAAATATGCGATTTTGGAACGGCGGAACTTTGTGACGAAACCGGTAGTAGCTTGGAACGAGATTCAAGTAAGCCAAATTCAAGATTTTTGAAATTCTAGGGCACACGAGGCTACATGTCGCCTGAACTTCAGTCTACCGGAGTTCCGACACATAAGTCCGACTTGTACGCTTTCGGAGTTGTACTTCTGGAGATGTTGTCAGGCGAAGAACCGTTGAAGTACAGACAAGAAAAGGGAAATTACGTTTATTGAGATGTGGTTCAAAGACCTAGTTCTTTTCGTCAAATTTGTGAAGACATGACCCGAGGTGGAAGGAGATGGAAATGGTGAAGAGAGAGAAGAAGGAAAGTGAGGAAGGAAGGAAGGAGAGTCGATAACTAGGGCAAGGCGGCAGTCAATGTCTAGATGGGGAAGGAAGGAGCATCGATAATTAGGGCAAGAGGGAAACACAAGTGGAGGATAAAAAAGAAGGCGGTTAATTTTTCAGGATTTCATTTCCCCCTGGCCCCGCTATTAAAGGATGAACGCGCGTTCTATTAAAATTTATAAAGCGACATCTTTAGACAACACAAATTTTTATAGGTTCCCTTCGTGTTTTTTTTTGTTTAGACACTAATTTTAGGGCACACAAAAATGCGTGTCCTAAATACTTTAAATTTTGGCAGAGAAGACATTATTTTTTGGACACACATATTTGCGTATCATAAATCACCGGGTGTCATCGTTTACGTGTCGTAAAAGGTTATTTTTCTTGTAATGAAGGCCTCTCATCATTTAGCTCATCTTTCATTTTTCTTCATCCTTCGTCTACCCATTTTACCCAACATATTTATAGGTATAAAATACATATACAGTTTAAATCAAATAAAACATGTATAAATCGTTCATTCAACATAGATATCAAGAACACAGATAATAGGCACATATATATAGCACATAATTTATATTAAATACTTTATATCTATTTGTAAGATGAATGTAACTATGCACTTACTTGATAAAGTGATGACTCAAAATCCGGGTAGCTCTTCGCTTCTAACAATTGTCTTTTCCTTTAATGAAACCTAGTATCATTATCACTAAGTCTTACTATATTATTTATTGCGACTAATTATTAGTCTAGATTCATCATTAACTCAAAGTCTACTTCAAGATCTATCAAGTAAGAATCAGCCAGGCAGGACAGTTGGGAGGCAGGGCCATTTCGGCGTATAGCCTTTCTGAAATCCAACAACCAAGCCAATGTAACCATTCTAGACACCTCTCCCATAAGTAGATCAATCAGTATAACTACTTTGAATCATTGATAAATCTTGTTTATAGGTTCATAATAACGATAATGAACTTAAACATAAGTTATACTTAAAGTACGGTAAGCATAACTCAACTTACAGGTGGTTTAACAAGAAACTGGACTCTGTGTGGGTAGAACTTCTGAGTCGAAAGCTCTTCTTCTCGGGGCTTTCCAGTGCTCCGGGCTTCGTTACTATCATCTAGGTGGTGCTAGGGAAAAGCTTAGAGGCTTTGGGGGTGTTTGAGAGAGAATTGGTTGAGAAGGTGTGAGTTTTTGATTTAAAAACACCATCTATTTATAGGCTATCCAAGGGCTCTTCGCGTCGTGAGATTGCATAGGCACCAAGGCTTTGCCTGGTGCTGACACGTGGCACACGACGCAGGTAAAACAACAAATTTTAAAAAATTCACAACTTTCACATACGAGCTCTGTTTTTGACGTTCTTCATATCCACACGTCGGTATTAAACAAGTTTTACATCTTTCGTTTAGACTCCGTCGGCTAATTTTGAATTTATTTTTAAAGTTATATTTTAACAAGATTAGACAGTTAAAGTCTGCTAAGAATTCATAACTTTGTCATCCGACGTCCATTTTCAACTGTACTTATATCATTGAGCTGCTATTAACGAGATCTTCAATTCTCGTTTAGGTTGCGTCGGCTAAAAATCGATCGATCTAAAATTCGATTTCCGGGTTGTGTACTACTACGCTGAATCTTAGAAATTTCATAACTTCTTCTAACGAAGTCAGATTTGGACGTTTTCTATATGCACGCTCTCGGTTTAACGTCAACTACGACTTTTGTTTGGATCGCTAAGGCTAAAAAGTATTTTGTCAAAAATTTACATTTTACGATACGCGGAGCCGTGCTCTTTTAATCACAAAACTTCGACGGGTCATAACTTCTTCGTTATAAGTAGGATTTCAATGTTCCTTATATCTCCAGAATCCTTGTTACAACTAATTCAACTTTCCTCAAAGATTTTGGGTCTACTTATTATTTTAATTTAGACGCATATTTTATTCCTATTTTATTATATCGTTATAGGCACGTATATTGCACATAAATCACATAATACTCAAATAATTCTTCTTCATTACATAAAATAGGTTACAATTGTTGACCCTAACTATTACATCATCATAATAATGCTTAGCCGAAAACGCAGGCATTACAATTCTCTCCCCCTTAGGATGATTCCATCCCAGAATCATGCATCATCAAACAGAAGTGGATAGCGACTCATCATTTCACTCTCTGTCTACCAGGTGAGGTTCGGACCATTCGAGTGTTTTCATCGCACTAGCACTAATTTCACCATCTTGCGTTGCAATTTCTTCATTTTACGGTAAACAATTGCTTCAGGCTCTTCAATTAACTAGTTATCTTCGTCAATCCTTAACTCCGAAAGTGGAACTATATCGGGAACTTCTCCCGTGAACTTCCTCAAATAACACCCATGGAATGTGTTATGAATACCATCCAGTTCTTCCAGCAATTCCAGCTTGTAAGATTGGTTCCCAACCCTCTGAAGAACCTTGAATGGCCTAATAAATGTTGGGCTCAACTTTCCTCTCTTTCCAAATCTTATACGTCCCTTCCATGGTGAGACTTTGAGCAACACTGAATCTCCAACTTCGAATGTTTATTGGTCGTCGCTTCTTGTCAGCATAGCTCTTTTGGCGATCCTGAGCTGCTAACATCCTTTCTCTAATCACCTTTAGCTTTTCAGCATTCTGATGGACTATTTCGGGGGCCATAAACTGCTTTTCTCCGGCCTCAAGCCAACAAGACGGCGTACGACACTTCTGTCCGTATAAGGCTTTATAAGGTGCCATCTTAATGATTGAATGGTAACTACTGTTGTAGGAAAACTCTACCAGGGGTAAATTCTCATCCCAGTTACCTTGAAATAATAGTGTACATGCTCTTAACATATCTTCCAGTGTTTGAATTTTCCTTTCGCTCTGACCATCAGTGTGCGGATAGTAGGTTGTACTTAAACACAACTTCGTACCCATTTCCTCTTGTAGACTCTTCCAAAATCTTGATGTGAAATGACTGTCACGATCCGATACAATCGTTAAGGGAACACCGTGAAGTCTTACTATCACCTTCATATAGGCATTTGCAAGCTTATCCATAGATCATCTCTCATTGGCTGCTATGAAGTGTGCACTCTTTGTGAACCGATCCACGACTACCCAAATCATGTCGTGACCGTTCTTCGTCTTGGGTAGTTTAGTCACAAAATGCATGGTGATGTCTTCCCACTTACCCATGGGTACTGGCAAAGGTTCTAAAACTCCATATGGTTTCTGATGTTGTGCTTTAATTCTTGCATATGTTACACATTCTGCCACATACTTTGCAATATCGAACTTCATCGTCGGCCACCAGTTGTAAGGTTTCAGATCCCTATACATCTTAGTGCTGCCGGGATGAATCGAGTACATGGTCTTGTGAGCTTCTTCCATCAGAAAATCCCTTATTCCTCCCATATTAGGCAACCAAATCCTGTTTTGGAATACCTTCAATCCTTGACTATTTGTATCGAATACCAATGTTTTGCCTAAACGTTCTTCCTTTCGGTCATTCTTCTCTAAAGCTTCTTCCTGAGCTCTCTTGATACTTTCTACAATTATTGAGACAACTTCTATTCTTAACGCTCTTGGCCTTTTTCTTTCTAGGTTTACTTTTCGACTTAGAGCATTAACTACGACATTTGCTTTACCACAGTGGAAAGTATCTCGCAGTCGTAATCGTTGAGTAACTCTAGCTAGCATCATTGTCTCATATTCAATTAATTTTGATAAAATAGATACTAGAGACTTGTATGATCAGTGAAGAGTTTTCACTTTGTGCCATAAAGATAATGCCTCCATATCTTTAATGTGAACTACCGCTGCCAAATCCAGATCATGAGTGGGGTAGTTCTTCTTGTTCTCTTTCAATTGTTGAGATGCATATGCTATCACTTTATCTCTCTGGGTCAGAACACAACCAAACCCAACTCCAGATGCATCGCTATAGACTGCGAATTCTTCAACTCCGTCAGGTGAAGAAAGAATCAGTGCTTCACACAAATTCTTCTTTAATTTATTGAATGCTTCTTCGTGTTTGTTACTCCATGTATATGTAGCACCCATATGGGTTAAAGATGTTAATGGAGTAGGTATCGAAGAAAAACCTAGAATAAACCTTCGGTAGTATCCAGCTAATCGCAGAAAGCTACGAATCTCAGTGTGACTTTTTGGTCGTTCCCATTTCATCACAACTTCAATTTTTTCTGGATCAACCATTATTCCTTCCTGGTTAACCACATGACCCAAGAATTGGACTTCTCAAATCCAAAAATCACATTTGGAGAACTTTGCGTACAACTTCTCCTTCTTCAAAACTTCTA